TTCCCCCCCCCCCCCCCCCCCCCCCCCTACTTGCTTGTTTGAATTCTTGCACACACTTCTGCATGGAGCGCCTGTCGCGGTACGTAAAGTCTTGATCTTATCTTGTGCCTTCCCTCTGCCCCCTGCCGTCCGCCATCGTGCTGGTTTTGTTCTTGGGACCCCAATGCGTAGTCTTGCTGGGCTGAAGACCCTACGAAACGACCGTCCTTCGCGAAAGTCGGCGACCTGTTGCAGGGGATGCTGCAAGATGGAATAGACCAGAACTGGTGAGTCGCCGTTGCCAGCGGCTCAACTGCGCATACTGTTACCGACGTGCATGCTTGTCCTTTTGGGGGATTTAATATGCTCGTGTGAGGTCGGTGCAGGGTCCATTCCTTACAATAATTGTGGGGGATGTACATACCCTAGCGTTGGTGGACTGCGCGTCCCCCCCCCCCCAAGCCATTGCGAGACACGACAGTTGGTAGGTAGGTGAAGTGATAAAGTCTTGCCAGGACGGCTGTCCCCACGAACTTTTCAATCGAACTCTCCGTACCGAACTTTGTTGACATACATCATGAAGAAGGTCTTGCTCCCAGCCGTCGATTGATTCCTACATAGATTCCAATCACCAGGCACCGGGAATGTAAACGCACAACGCTGTCTACCGTCGAGCTGCATGTCCGCGTGTACCCGATGAACCGAAGGTACCTGCTTTTTCAACAATGTACATGTACACCCAACACTTTCCCGCAAACCCCGTCCCCCGTCCCCTGCATGTCGCGCGAAACGTGCCGACAGGAACAAGGCGCCCCCGACTGGCTTCATGTCCAGGCTAGGGCTGAAGAACCGACACAGCTCGTGGTTTTGAGCATGGCAGTTCGTTTGTTGTAGTGCTTTCATTTTTTCCCGAGGACGGGGGGTCACGTCTCCGTGAATATTGTGTCTGTTAGAACCCCGTGTCTTTACCATGCGTGTAACCTCACCGGGCAGTATCTACTTGTTGTCTATTGTTTTGTTTTTCGAATTCGTATTCACAATCGGTTGTTGCTTCTTGTGCTTCCTCACCCCTTTCGTGCCTTCAAGGCCGAAGCAAGCTTGTGGTGAGGAGAGGAGTTGTTTTTGTCTTTTGCTCTGGGCTGGGTCTTGGTTTGTTTGTGTTTAGTGTTGTGCGAGTATCTGTGTGCCAAGCAACGCGGCGTAGACGCCGGGAGCACATGTACAGAATTGCTCGATGTAGCATGCGCGTGGTTGTGTGGTCCCGTTTTTCTCTGTAGTACTGTTGACATGTTTATGACACCTGCCTGTTTTGTTGTGGCGCTGTCTGTGCGTGTTCCCAAAAGCTGTGAGATGGGACTTAAGCGTTCATCGATAAGATACATGCCAACATGTGTCTAGTATAGAGAAGTGCGAGGGCCATGAGAACGGAGAAGATTTTGGAACTCGTGCGCCAAGGTGGACACTTTGGGTCGGTCGTGGTATCTTCCTGCGGGTGTACATACCGTGTGCCTCGTATGAACGAGACAAATGGAGTATTATTAGGGGCACACTTGATGCCGCTCGCTTCAATGGAGACAGACCTCCTTCGTGAGAGGCACGGAGAGCTTCGACCGCGCCGGCAAGTTAGACCAAGTTTTACTTTGCTTCGCTCATTACACTGCATGCTGCTCTAACAAGCGCATGCATACCTATGGCATGTTTTTTTTGCGTGTCTTTGGTCATGGCTCGCTGCAGTTTCTCTGGAACTGGAACTGTGCATGCAAGTGCTGCGTTCTTTCTCTCGAACACAATCAATTGATTCGTCGTGCCTTACCTCCTTGCTGATGCGCGCATCGCAGCCGCCCCTCGCCCTCCCTCGTAGCCCTGGAGCACATGCACCACGTTGGCTCGAAAATGGAAGGCACAGTTGGACAGGAGGCACCGCACTTCTGTTGTAGCAACCCCAAACCGCGATAAACCCATCGGAGAGTTCAGAGAGGTGCATACTGCACACACACACATCTATCTTGTGTATACTGTGTTGGATCAGTACCAGTACGGACATATGAAGGTACTGGGTAGAGAGAGATCGGAACGGTTTTTAGTGTGAAGACAACAACAACAACAACAACAACAACAACAATACTGTAGTCTAACTTTTGGACAGAGAGAAGAGGTGTTGCTGCATGCTATTCTTAACGTTGTAGGCGATCCCTAGACGCTACATAGCCCCGAGGTCTATGGCATACACACGATCTGTTATTTGTGACTTTCAGGTCTGACCGGATGTATGTACGTTGACTGGAGGAAACTAATAGACTAGATAGAGTGTGATCACTTTTCTGTCTGCTGTCTGATATGGTAAAATATTTACGTTCAGTTCGCCATACGACAAAAAACAGGACATCAATTATTGGAACGTTGGCCCCAAAGCACACGCAATCTCTCAATCACAACGGATTCATCTCTGCTCTGCTGTGTATCCAATGTTAGTCATGCGAGTGTACGTCCCAAGCCCCCAACACATCCACCCGAGGGGGCCTCCTGGTTGAACCGATGGAACACCCCCCCCCCCCCCCGCCTCCCATCCAGTGGACCACAGCATGACCTGCAACCACTGCAACCATCTGAAATTGTTTGAAATCAGCCCGCACCCACATCTTGATCGGCTAGCTGCACATCGCATTGCCACCCACAGCACCACCCGACGTCACAGCCATGGCCGCGACAACGGTACCTGGCTGCTTTGCGTGCCATGTGGACTGTGCAACGGGCTGTGCCGCCGACGATCAACCCTTCGATCACCCCGACTACGCTGACTACAAAATACCGAGCTTTGACGAGAAGGACGCGGACGAGGCGGAGCTGCGATCGACGCGACTGCATAGCAATAATAGCAAGGAGGAGCCCCAGGACTCAGATAAAGGGATGGAGATCAGCACGGACGAGCCTGTGAGTGGGACTGGAGTGCGTGTTGAGGAGATTGGGTGGATCTGCAGCTGCTGATTGTTTTGTTCGCATCTACGACAACAGCAGATCTGCCGGTGATGGTGAGAGACCCTTCGCCGCTTCATTTTCTGGCCAAGCAAGCCTACAAACAAGTCTTACGATTTGATGAGGGATTACATGTGTCGTCTTGATGATGGTGAGCCTCGCCATCGCCAACTCACACCAAGGGGATAGCGCACGGCTCTCAACCTTGTCCATCGTGTGACAAGAGGCGATGACTCTTGGTTTGCCTGCTGCTGCCAGCATATTTGTAAACACGACTTTACCCCCTACCAGTACTCGTTGCCCCTGTTGGCCAAGTTCCCGTGGCTGTTCATTTTCCAATTTTGGTGCGTCGGAACCAGAACAAAAACAATGGCTAGCGATCCACACGCACCGTACGTCATCATGGTTGATTCCCGTCATCATGAAGACTACTCCCATCAAAACACAGCGGATGTCGTGCAGAACTTTCGATAGAGAAGCGGACCATCCATTTTGGCGCATTGCGAATAGCGTTGTTGACACAGATGCCACAGCAGCAACAAGTTCAAAGATAATCGAAACAACACCTTCCTTCTATGACTTCTATGTACACGTTCCCAGCAACATACAGATAGATACACAAGACGGCCACCAAACTGTCTTGCTGGCCCTGTTACCCACGGGGGAGATATCGCTGTGTGCTGCTCGGGAATCGTGGAAATACAGGTAGCCTTCGCTGACGCTATGGAGTCATCGCTATGTAATCTATCTTTGACTCTCGTCTTCTACTTGTATGGATTCGTTGGGTTATATTGAAGTACTAAGAAAACAATGAAGAAAAACGTTGGGGCACGAACAAATAAAAACCATGCCGCCTTTCACAGCGGTCGGACCCTCCCTCTCTCTCGCTCTCTCTCTCTTTCATGCACAGACACCCGATAACGGGATTGAGAGATTGAGATCCTGGCCCTGTTCGCAGTGTCAGCAGATGATTTCGTAGGAACGTGCGTAGTAATGTGCACACACACACCCTTGAACACTCAACTGTTCATTTTTAGTGCCTGTTTAGTCGACTGCCTGTCTGCAGACAACAAGTGCCACTGGAGTAGGGAGTTTGAAAATTGAAATTTGAAATTTGTTGTCGAAGATAACTACTGACTTGGTTGAGAATTCATGCACGCGGTATTGTTGCGTACATACTTCAAGTATTTGTCTGCAGACAAAAGGCTTCAACAGGACTTGGGCCTTATCGCAACAGCAGCAACAACAATGTAGAAGTAGACAATAAATATGCTTCAGTCCCTTTCTTCAACAGCACACGGGCGGCCAAAAGTTACCGCAAACAAAGGCGAAGATAGAGCCCCCCGAAGTCAGAGGTACCAGAAGGGGTGCGAAAAAACAGCAAGATACAGAACAAGATAGCTCACTCTTTGTAACTTCACGGGGGGGGGGGTACTCTTATGTTTTGCATGCCTTAGCGGTTATACCATTGACCACGCGTCCTCGAGAGGACGGAGCATTGTTCCCACAGGACCGATCACCGATGGCCAATCGTTCCTTCCTACTTTGCCAAAGGTGGCTCAAAAATGTCTTCCCTAGTCTGTCTATCCTAACGATATCCCTTCCCGCCTTTTCAAACCACTTCCTACTCCCCAGTACAGCTACCGTCCTCTCCTCTCTATTCCATGCCTCAAACATCTCCCTGTACGTCCCTTGTATTTTTCCCAGCTCAGTCATGTACACTTCCCTCTCCTCTTCGTACCACGGACATTCCGCGACTAAACATGAACACGGTCTTCGCATTCGAAGCCGCAATCACATTTGAACGTGTCGTCTTCGTCGTTTACCGTCCTATGTCTTCATCCACGTTAACTTCACGGCGGGGGGGCATTTCATATGAAAGGGGCGCATCCTCTTCGGAAGTACGGTAGCCGCCTGCAGACAACTATAATAGCGTACATGTACATGGTGCATTTTTGTTTTGTGGACAACCGCTAGGCAGGCACGGCCGTTCTCATAAAGTAATGTGCAGTTAGTTGGTAGTTACAGATGTACAGTGCATGGATTGTGTGTGATACTGTAACTCTCTCTCGCTCTCCCCTCCGCTCTGAGACACGCTCGAAAGTACACGGTGAGACCCCGCCAAATGGGAACGACGACTCAGGCAGAAGTTGAAAGCGATTGGTCCGGCGGTATTTTCATGGCATCGAAAACGAAACAATGGTTTCTCTGCGGACACGTATACTGTACAGTACCGCAGGAGGAAAGTTGTGAGCCCTGCTGAAACGTCAAACACATACACCGCGAGGTGATTAGATTGGCGCCAGAATAAATGGGACGAAAGTGCGCGCACGCACACAGCAGTAGTCCACAATTTCTCCGAGCGAATGCAGCAGACAGTGGTGGGTAGCCAGACACGGCCTGTAAATGCGTTGTTGTGACTCTGATACTGGACACAAGCGCCGCCTCGGAGCCGTTCTCCACTTGCACAACCCCGGGTAGCACAAGCCTCTGGCATGGATGAAGCTGGGTGTCCGGTAGCCTCTTTAAGCCATGCTCAGACCACACATCGGGCAGGGATGGTAAATTAGTGGGCCAAGAACGGGCAAAACTCATGTGCAGAGCCAGCCGTGAGTCGCTCGGTTGTCGAAACGCCAATACAGCAAGAGCTTCATGAAACCCAGGACGGCCTCGAGAGCTTGTGCTGTTCCGTGGTATTTTAGAATATCGGTTTGCTCATCTTGTGGTGAACTTCGATGCTGCGGTCCATTTACATGTTTTTGCGGCGGAATCCACTGTGGAGACAGGTTTGGAATTATCATTTTGGTATTTCTTTACTCTCTCTAGAGCGTCAGCAGTCCACACGTCACGTAAGAAAAAAATCCCACCCATCCTCTCCATTCTTGACTCCTCTTATTTGCCGAGTTATTTTTCTTCCGTCCTTGAACCCAAAAACACGCAGGCGGAGGGCTCGTCCTTGATGCGGTTCGTGTTGTGGGCTTTGAACGTCAAGACTGACACGGGCGCATGACCAACCTACGGCCGAGAGATACTGCATTGACGACGTTTCGTGCGGTAGGCCTGTGCCTGCTGCCGCCTTTTACGGGATGTGGCCCGGATGGGTGAGGCCCACCTCGAATATGCCATTCGGAGGCCCTTAGCTTGCTCGATCCCACTGGAGCGAAAACGTGAAAATCGGATGGAATGGGGCCCGGTGTATGTGTGCAGTGCGCCTTAGCCGTGGAGGGGAAGTAGGAACTGGGAAATTGGGGTTGGGGTTGCACCCCTCGCTTGGCGCTTCCTGCGGCCTCTCTGCGACGTCCAGCAGTGTCGGTGTTATGCCGTGCTGCGGCAATCGCTACCTGCTCTGTGTATCAAGCTGGTGTTGGCCGGCAGCCAATTATTGCGTGCATGCGCGCGTGTCGTCTTGCACATGAGATCATCCTGGATGGTTGTTATCATCTACCAGGCCCGTCGGCACATACAGTGTTCGTAGTCTGCGTGTGGAATGGTTTGTTGGTATACTGGAAGATGCAATGGGGATACCGGCTCGCGGTCTCGAAAAAGGAAATTTTTGTTGGTCCCGTGAATCCCGTAGGATAGTTTTCCTGTAGTTCCAGGGGGCTGCAGTTACCCGCGAGGTTGACAGTCTTCGTGGAGTGCATGTCTTTTTCCTGGCGAATGGTGTCTTGTTGTAGAATATTTCATTTCTCGTGCATCAGGAGGCTGTTGGATTGAGTTTCATGGAGGTGTATATATTTGTCTAGCGGAGCAGTAAGTGTTCATTCGTTGTATCTTAGGTATGTAGTTGCGTCTAAAGGCGACAACCCGCACAAAGGAGTCAGTTCTCGAGTAGTGCGCGTGATGCATGAAGAACGTGGTGGCTGCGATTGTCATAGAAGTTGTTTCTTTTGTCGTGATAGTTTTGTTTCAGTAGCGCGTTCATTCTTTGGTCAATCGTGAGCAAGACACGAGCGGACCTCCCCGCAGCTACGCTATTTGTATCACGTACGTTTTATTTTCATGTCTACTGTAGTGTTCTTGTTTCTGCAGCGTTCCGTGCAAGTGTGTGGGAGATCAGCGCATGTGAACCTCAGTTGGTCTGGTTGAGTCTACTCAACGAGCCTTTTGTTTGTCCGGTTTCCAACGCGAAATTTGTTCGCACAACTCGCCCGATTGTTAGCAGCAGCGGTAAACGATAACGGTGGAGATAGGGCACGTTTAGTTGCTGTTCATCTACCCATCCATCTCTGGGGGGGGGTCGCGTCCCAGGTGTCAAAGTGGGCTTCCTCGACGAGGGGGTGTTCAGCCTTCGCTGCGTGCTTAATGTTATGAATAGGGTTAGCCTACGGCTAGCACCCGCATTTGAGAACCTCTAGTTTTTGGCCGGGGTTGGGTTCTTAGTTCCCGGGGTTATGCTACGAATGGCCGCTAATTTATTTAGTGCAGCAAGCGCACAGGTTCTTAGCCGGGCGCGTATGGTGCCCAAGCTCATAGACTTTGAGTTTGACGAGACTGTATCAATCAACTTCTTGACGACCACGTCTTGAAAGAGGATGCTAGCTAACTGTACCCCAACTACCATACGCTAGTGGTTTCCCTCGCAAGATCACTTCGGATCCTGGACAAACGACTACGTAGTACGTCGTATTGGAGAGGTGTTGACCCTACACCGTTGGTGTGTTGAGAGCGGTTCACCGCGCCCACCATGCGCCGTGATTTCCGAGTTTACCAAGTCAGGGCGTTATGCTTGCTTCCGCTGAAGAAGACTTGTTTCGGTGCCTGCGTGCATGTGGCTTTTGGTCTTGCCCGCCTACGAAAAGGTACGCGAAGCTAAAACGCCTGACGGCCTCCCCGCACAAGTAGAGAATGGTCACAACAATTTCGTGCTTTTTGGCTACCGAGACGCAAAACTACGTGCCGCAGTTCTGGACCTCCGCAAAACTCGGTCGGTAGAGAGTTTTTTTAGGATGGACAAGGATCATGATGGTTTTGGGCGATTTATGGCCGATGGCACCAGTGATGGAAACTTCTCGCCATTTTCGCGCCGGAGGAGCTGTTTTGTCAAACAAGAAAACGACGCCCCTTCGAGCGTGGTGTTATCTCGAACGGGTAGTGTTTCAGTGATCTGTGCATTTCTAAGAAAACGACGCCTATTTAAACAACTTTATTGAACCTGGAGTAGTCAAGAATCTGGTTTTTGAAGGACCTGGCGATGAACAACTTGAGCCTCACAGATAACATTCCACAAAAATTGCCTTTGAGTATCAGTTGTTGCTCGGTGAAGATTCCCATGCTTTTTAGTTTAGCTGTCTGGCTGTTTGACAACCTACCCGGCAACGACGTACGGTAGTCTCGACAAGGCGACGCGTGGAGCATGTGATTCTCCTCAAAGTGGGGTTTGTGTTTCCGTGATAAATGACACCTACTACCTGCGCCATCCTGCAGCAACAAACAAACCTCTCTCCCACGTTTCAAGGCTACCTATGTTCAGCGTATACTACTCCGGCCGCTCTCGATCAGGGGAAACTTCAGAGCCGACTCTTTTCTTGATAGCTGTCCAGGAGCATTACCAGGCGTCGGTAGAGTCGAATGTGATCGCGACGACGGCGATCTCGACCCTCCGCCGTCCTTGGCATGTTTTCTAGCAGGGAGTGTCGGTGCTGATGACGATGTCGATTGCAACGACTTCGAACCCGGACCCCCCTTGACGGCCCGCTTGCTGGCCTGCTCACGAGGATGTTTATGTCTTCGGGAATCCTTGCTTCCTCGCGGCATTCTCGCCTGTCGTTCGCTGGCCTCGAGCCTGTTCCGATACAGTGGTCCTATCACCTGCGATTGAAATGGATTATGGGTATACCCGTTAACACTTTATCCAACCCTCCCCCGTGGCAACGAGAACGTCGACCAGGCGGCAGATGATAATAGATGCATCGCGCCGGGACGAAACAAAACTGCACAAACATCAGAGCACTACATTACGGGAGAAACGCTCACGGCCCAACACCGGCATTTGTTACTACAGAGTCGGGCAGGGGATGTTCTCCACCAGGTCCGTTTTGGCGGGCATTTGTGCAGGGTCAGCCCCACCCCTTCATCCCGAAATACCAGCGCAGTACATCAAATATTTAGCGTACAGATGAGACCAACAGGTAGACTATACAGTACCTCTGCATATTGGAAAGACGAGTAGTGCCGTGGCGTTGTCGATTCTGTAGTATGATGGGCAAGTACTTCGACGACACCCACGTACTGTATGTAGTAGTTGGGCGGGCATCGTCTTCTAGACTACTGTACGAAGGACACGGCTCGCTGTCGTTTTGGACACCTCCCACCTCATTCTTCATTCTGCTGGCGTCTTGCCACCCCTTGACGGCCTTGTAGTAGGATGTGTTCGAATCCCCCGCATATCGATACAGGTCCTGCTCACCACAACAACAGTGGATACGGGGAATACCGCAAGACGGAGGGATGCGCGTGTTACTGCTGCAGTCCTCAGACCGCACTACACCACACGGGTGTTCTAAGCTCCGAGGTAGGCAGTTTGCTGCTCATTGCGTTCTACTGGTGCGACCGACGCGGACACAATCCGTGTTCCCAGGCTAGCTGCCTAGATAGGGTCGAAACATACTTGTGAAACATGAAATTTAATGAGAGGAAGGAGCCATAAAACAAAAAAAAACACGACAGAAATGAAAACGAGAAGTTAGGTCTCCCAAACAGTCAGGCTTGGCATGTGACACGCCGCAAAAAGATCGACCAATTTGCGTAGTCAAAATCTATCCTACGCGGAGGTAGTATTTGTCGTGCTGAAACAAGGGGGCTGCAAGACGACTACAACTAACTGTACTGTTCTCGGATTGGTTGGTCCTCTTGGACTATAATGCGAGTTTACTCTGCGTAGCCCGGACATGTGCTGTGCCTTGCATCGCGAGTCGAGTTGGCTGGCCTCGAACAGGTGACCGACCGCCACAACGAAAGGAGGTGCACACGGAGGATCTTTTCGTCATCGTTTGTTTTGTGTTTATCCATTGGACCGACCGGTGTTTATCTGGAAAAAAAAAGGCGATAAATAATGTGTAGGAATAGCACCAACAAAGCTCCTAATGGCGAAAATCAAGTTCCAGAAGCTTCAATTCAAGATGGGAGTGGGTTGCATTTTTTCTCTCGCAAGATCTTGGATGGGAAATGCTTGGTCTAGTGAATGAAGCGAGGGTCCCGCAAGTCGCTTGAGAAAGTTCGGTTTCTCAAGGGAATCATCCTTGCTTTACGAAAAAATATTTTTCCTCGAGCGAACTGGGAGTTTTCAGAATATGCTACTGGATGATTACAATGTAGGTACGAGATTTTGCAAGGAGAGGTATCTACAGCACTCTGAATGAAGCGTACCTGCGTTTGGTTGTAGAGCTGATCCAATTCTCCCGATGTCAAGTACAAAAAAGCGTTGTGTCTCGAAACCACGCAAACCTGCACATCCTGCGAGAGAGCCACCACCTGTCAGGCAAGGCAGAGAGAGTACCACATATACATGCACGCACCAACGGGTTTACGGTTTCCAAGTGGGACAGATTACTTCTCTACGACTCGCTACTTCGTGCTTCATAAGCAACAATAAAAGCCACCCACCCACCGCCAGGATTCCGTTGCTTTTACACCGATAAAGTCACTCCATTCTCTCAGCGCTTTACTACATTCATTCGTGTCGCAGCTCTTGTTCCAACCATTTCATTCAATCTAAAGTTCAGAAGGGGAGTATAACGATCGATCGTCGTGCGGTAAGCTACTCAAAACTCTTTGAGCCCTCGGGACACTACAATATTATACCTGGTATTGCCTGGTTTCGAATCCTAGCACGCAATCCTCTCCCGTCACCTCTCCCACTGTCGAGGTCTTCAGGTTTATCGTCACCTGTGCACGAAGGAGCGGGAGGGAATGCTGGAGCCAGAGACTTATATCGCCGGTGTCAACACACGCATCAGGCGGCGGTGAGTCGGTGTCTCAAACTGTTGCACTCCATCAACACCGCTCACTAGCTGTGTTCTTCTTGCACCAGGTTGTTGTTCCAAGTTGAACACACTGCGCATCTTACCCCAATTTTGAGAAGTGATGAGCTTTAACATGTATCTTCCACTACACCAACGTGATGCCCAGTGAGGGAGTAATGGCTAGCTCGGACACAGGTGAAAACATCTTGTGGACCTTCAAATCCGAGGCATTCGCATGTGCAACAACGATCAAAACGCGCTGTCCGAACCCAAGGGATCTCTGACGGAGTCAACCCGTTCACCCAACAATGACACGAAATGAGATCGATCGATGGCTTTCTTTGCACCGAGACAGAGTGGTGAGGGATGCATAATATCATCCGGGGAAATAAAAGCAAGTCCGGTTTCTTGCCGTCTGTGCCTTTCCGTGTTGGGTTGGTGTTGAGTCCAAACTAAGCTTCGCAACCTCAGCCTCAACTTCAGTGAGTGGTGCGTTTAGCACCGTCAGATGTCAAAAAGGCCTGGGGGGCGGGGGAGCACTCCTGCCAGCTTCTGGAAGCCGCTCTTAGGGTATTCACCACCGCCTGTGCATGACTAGCTATTCAGGGTATACGTCCCGGTTTGTTTATGTGTGTCTCACAACGATCACACCCGGCGTCTGCGACCATGCACTGAGCGTTCGCCCCACTCCGTTTGGCATCGAACACACGCTACAAGTGTCTTCGCACAGGAACGCGTCAGCTTGAACAGACTATGTCTTCGCCAAAAAGCAATCTCTTTGCAAATTCGCGGTAGCTCATTGGTTTGGGCCTACCTTCAACAACGGGCAATGCCGCAAGAAGTACATGCTGCAAGGATAGGACTTGTGATTTGGTCGAGTTCTTGCCTGCTTCATGGAATTTCGTTGGTGAGTCTTCTTGTTGGAGACCGGCCAACGGTTCACGAAGCGGTACCGTAACACCCTTTGGGCCAACACCTGGCTCGTTCGAGTTGAAGTGGGAGAGTAGACGCGCCAAAACGCACCGAGGGAAGGTGGCAGCTTGAGGGAGCGATTCAGAGCAAGAAGAAGAACGAAAGATCTACACACACGAGGCGTTGTATTCTCCGCGACACGACAACATCGTGTCATATCGTCATCATCATCATCATCACCATCATCATCATCCCGTACAACACGAAGCATGATTCGTCAACATCTTCTCGCCTTTCCACTGAACACGATGTAGAGGTTGTGTGCAGGCTCGCCCTGCCGGTAGATGTATTCGCCCTTCGCGTGGCTGTGGTGCGCCATACAGTACGCAAACGCCCTGATCTTGGAGTGAGACCAGTTCTTAGCCAGCTCGAACGTGTCTTGGAGAAGGTTGATCTGTTTCGTTCATGTCACGCACATAACACCACGGGCCATGTGTGCATTGGAACTAAACACAAGGACGGAAAGCAATGATGGCATGATTTTCCTCACCAGATCGCGGCAGCTGCGGCATCGGTGACTTCAACAACGGGCGGGCTTTCATTTCACTACACAGCCTTTTCGGCAAACGCGCAAACACCCCACACTGCGGAGGGGGTTCCAGAAACACGAATTCTCCCACCCGAAGGGTCACCATACAATTTGACGTTGGTTTCACCACACCGATCACCCAGTAGCGGAAATTTGGAGGATACAAAATCGATCCCTCTAGCATTTGGATGCTCCTGTCAGTGTCCAACCCAGTTTCGAACTATGTCTGGCGTAGCGTTCTGTAAGCACGTGGCCAAACACATATCCCGAGAGTAAATACGCCACAAATTAGTTGCACCGTAGAAATGTCCCGTGGCTACGGCAGCGAGATGAACACTTCCAGGGCAAGGGTGGTGGGGCTAGAGGGTTGGGGTTGGGTTGAGGTGTAAGTCACGAAGGGTTCTCAATAGGTGTTGAAGCTGATGCTGGGGTTCCGAGGTCTCAGGTGTTTGTTCAATCGCCCATTCGCCATCACCGAAGTAGCTCAGCATTCACGCACGCTAAACTTGGCAAGCATCTTGTCCACTAGGACATTCATCCCGCACCGTGCAGCATAGGTATCTTGATCTGCGTTGCTGCCCAGAGAAATACCCAAACAGGCGCCACAGAAGCCCCCTCCCCCCTCCCCTCGTTGCAGAAATGCCTTCGTACCTTCATTTGCATCTTGTCCATCAGGTACTTTGAAAGAATATGTCGATAGTCGCTGGTACGCATCGTCACTAGCAAAGCTCCCGATGGATCGGCCTATGGAAGTTGACGCACAAACGGCCGTTCAGTTGACCAGCGGCGAGGCTTAACACGCTTTGCTACTTTCTTTCGGGTCGAAAAAGAGTAGGCTGCCGCAGCGTCGGCAATTTGTCGCCGAGGCAACTACTGGCATCTACCCGACAAGGAGCCTTTGGACGGCAAGGAACGACCTGTGTTCTAACTATGACACACGAAAAAATAAGACTGTTTTGAATCGCTCTGTAGTGTCAGCCACACCTTACACACTAACAATGTTCTGTCAACTGTGGTACTCTGTGCGCGTATTCGTTCTCCGGTACTTTGTAGTCTGAAATTGTCGTTGAGGCCGCGCTTACGAGGTCCAGCGGGTTCCTTCTGTTAGAAGCAACCCTACGAAGACACAGATTCCGGGTACTGTGCGCCGCACATGTCGAGCACGTCGCATAGTTGGGCATCGTCGTGTAGTAACCCACACTACTGATCAGTATTTGCACGGACAAATCAGCACGGTGCACACCACCTCACGGCCGCTCTTCCAGCCATCTGTGCCGTACGAAGTATACAGCGGGTCTGAAATAAACGAACCCTTTTCACGTCGTACAATATGGTACACGGTATACGAAGAATATTGGTACTCCAAGTCATCATCAGCCCACCTTGACAGTCGCGGTTCGTTTCTCAAGATTCTGCAGACCCAGTTCTCCAAACGTCTCCCCCGGCCCTAGAACAGCCACAGGGCATTGTTTCACAAGAACCACGACGTGCCCGTCCAGTATCATGTAGAATGCCTGTAATCACGTCGTGCAGTGGGGTGGGGGCGGCATGGACGGAAGATCGGCTCGAGACAGTACGCAACTGCTGTAGGACGCGGCCCTCTTCAACGCGACAAAGTAAGACGTCTAGTTTTCAGGTGTTTTGTGACCGAAACAGTGATCTACTGAAGACGATACCCTTTGGGTATAATTGGTGTGATTTGGGCATGTACTCGAGACACGGGCTGATGGTATGGGCCGTTTGCCAGAAGGAGGAAACAAGTTCCTGTCTCTTCAAGGGCCCGCCCGCTGTCACCGCGGTGTCGGAGCCGGGGACCCTGTTCGGAAAAAGTCGACGCGACGTTCTCGTAGCAAGGGAAAGACAAGACAACTGAAACAGTGTAACTCGCGAGGAAGACGAGCCAAAACCGAGCCACGGTCAGCTGTTTGATTACTCTCGTCCTCTAGATAACACAATGCATAATGTACACCATGGCGTTCGGAGTAGTGCATGCAACAAGAAATACGTTTAGAGAAGGTACAGGTTGCTCAGGAGAATCCCGTGACACCGGTGCAGTTCCGTCTGCTGATACTGCGGGCGCCACACAAACACGCAAGGTTGACCGACGAAACCCTGTTTCACCTGAAAGCGCTGTTTGCAACGTATCGTATCCGTTCCCAGCCACCAAGTCCCTTATCAGCCAGACTTGGCTCTTCAACAAAATCTGGCAAACCACTACATAGTAGCCAAACGTGCGCTGCTGAGTGCTGGTACGTCTTTTCATGCACCTCGGATTCGTCCCCTTCCGAGAAAAGCTTCTCCCCGGGCCGAAGCTCTTGACACTCCACCACGTTGGTCACTTCCATTAGCCGTTTCGCCCCCAAAGACCGCAACGAATCCTGAAGGGAAATTTCGAAAGAAAATACGACCAGTGTCAGTGTCATGGACGGCTCTTAGATCGTGCCTGATCCAACCCAGCAGGACATCAGCTGGTAATTCGTGAGATGATGTTCTACGACTGTGTAGGTGCGCGCTAGCCGTCGTCATTGTGGAGTATTGGCTAGACGGGGTGAAGGCGTACACGGTATTATGACCTGACTTCCAGCAGCCATGTCGTGGGCACGGTAGCATCCTGCGCCTTGCAGTCTTTGGGGTAGGAATACAAGCTAGCTCTCATTGGGGCTGCCCGTTGTACTCTAATTGAAATGAAATTTCTTGAAGAGTTTCCCCCGCGAAACACGCACGCACATAGATCCTGGTCGTACTTTCAAAAATGTGTGATTTCGAACGTACAAGCACTGGCAGGTGTGTTCTGTGCACAAGGGAAGATACCTGCTGCCCCAGCCAGCCGGTAATGGCCTGCACATCGCGGTGGAGTCGTTCTTCCGGTTGTTTCTGGAGAGCTTTTTTTATTTCTGGCACCCCATAGGCCCCATCTTCCTCCGAAAACCTGATTCAGCGAACGTGAACGAGCATCACCTCATGAGTGAGCCAGGAACTGAAGACACTACCTGCATCCCTCCAGGCGATGACAGCTAGGGGACTGTTGGCAGGAAAAAAAGCGGCCTTCCTTGTTGCTGTAGACATGTTCGACACAAGTGTTTTGGTGCCTTGTACTCGGATGCCTATGCCCAGGTTGCGTTCGTTCAACGTGATGTGCTCCTATGATGGATGTCCCTTGTCTCAAACCGAAACCCTTCGGAATAAGCGAAGCACCTGGGTTCGTATTCGAAAGTCGTCTGTTTCTTGTAGGGACCGCGTGATTTTTGGCGATGGCTTGACCGATCCGCAACTACGCTGCCTTGACAGAACGCGTGCTCCAAGAGGCCTCTAAACATACCCAACGTTGATCGATCGCCACGGTCCTCGTGAAAAGGCGAAAGACGAGTCGACGGCACCCCGTTTGGTGTGTTCGTTCGACCTGTCACCGTGGGTGGATTTGTTGTTCTTTGCTTGCCTGGAAAACACCTGCTGAAAATCGTCCCTGCCGATCAGCCAATTTGGAAACACCGGGTCTTGTTGGGCGTCGAGGTTGCCGCGCCAGGTGCTCAGCTCGCCCGCTCGCTTTCGGCGCTTGTACAGCCGAATTGTGCTGTCTAACTCCTTCACGTCGATCTCGCCATCTCCGTCGTTGTCTGGGGACACACGCAAAGCAGAAAGCACAACGTAGATGCCGCTGTGAAGGTTCGCGCTTTTCACGTGCCACGTTACGAGGTGCATATAACGCAAAGTGCTTCGAGGGAATTCCCCTTATGATATGGCTGCCAGCTTCCTGTCCAGCTTCCCGTCCAGCTCCCTGTCCCGAGGGGGGAGACTGGACAATCCGTGCCAGAGGGAATACACCCTACCAACGTTGAGGCTCATCAAAACACAAACATCCTGCAACTACTATTACTGTTTCGTCGATGCTTTCAAGAGTGCGTCACGGAACAACGTTTGATCAATACGGGGAGAATACTGCACTGTACGGATAAAACTATCAAAGGCAGCTCATATTGAAAACGTAGGTGAACTGGTCGACCATATTCCACCGCTTATGCTACCCCCCCCAAACAGGTGGTCAACTGGACCCCATCGTTGTTCTCACCCATGAAGGTCACAAGAGCGTGGGCTTGTACCGTCGTGATATTGATGTCCAGCTCCACGAGCGCCCGTTCCAGCTCTTGGTGCGAGAGCTTCCCATCACCACTAGAGTCAAGATCTGTGAATGAATGTCAGTGTGCGTTTGATCGGTGGCACCATTCACAAGCAATAGCCGTGCCATCCTATCACACAGACGCTGCTTCTCATTACCATAGGCTAAATGCTTAGCAGACGAACAAGTGGATGGGGTTAGGTTGTTTTCATTTGTTTCTTCAAATCAAAAACTGTTCCCGGTCTCTGATCGGTACCTTCGAACACCCGTACCGATCCAACTGACCCGGACCGCTTCCTTCCGCGGTCACAGGCCAACAATAAAATTCTGTGGCAACAAACAAGTTATTACACAGAAGAACGGGAACATGAAAATTCGCCCTCTTGTCTGATGCATTCAATGTAGGCGAAGACCTTCCTTCTAAGCTGCGAACCAAGGCCTGTTCAAGCGTATGCGCAGGACGGTAAGGACGTAGACCACCAATAGTTCCAATGAACTCTTTGGCGTGGTTCCTCATCAGTGCCGACCTTGCAAGCAGCAAAGCTAGACTGGTGCCATCCACAATACACAACTTTAAGCTTGTTGCACTCCACGCCAAGCGTGACAATGTCAAGGGCAGAAGGTGCATGACTATGGTTTAAAAAGACGAGGCTGCACCTTTGAAGATGTGGTTGATGCCCTTGCCCGTACGGCTCATGTACGCAGCAAGCTGCGATACCGCCGCGATTGTTTGTCGGTGGTCGCTGCCCAACATTTGATCAAAATGCTGCCTGCAGTAACATAAAACCATGGTGAGGTAGAAGAGAATAATAAGTAAGGCGCCAGGAAGTTGTCGAGGAAGTTGTTGTGTTGTTGTCTTCACATTTAGTCTACTAACCGTTCCGATCTCTCCACCCACATTACAGGACAGTTAGTACTTTCATCTGTCCGCTGATCTTATGTAACAACAATTGAACGTGTTTCAAAAGCTACATATACAATACATAAGTTTGTCGGCTTTGGGAGAAACAAGAATGCGACGACGAGGTTTTGGCGGTTAGGTGAAGTTCACCACCACCGCCGAGGCCTATCTTACTGGTGGTCTGGTATGAGCGCCTACCCCGCCGCGATGTCCGATTCATCGTCATGCTTCGACTCCAGCGACAAGCTCCTTCTATTCGAACTCCGTGAGAGCGAGCTCCGACAGCTGGCGTTGTCCATCTGCCCTTCCACCTATGCGCCACATGCATGCGCTATGCTGCTGCTGCTGCTGCTGCTGCTGCTATAATATATCCGTATTTGGGACTGATGAGGGAAACGCTTACGGCGGGCAGCCCACCACAAAAGCAGCGGTGATGACAGCGATCCGCTATGAGCGAGCTTTTTAAACGGAGGTATGTTTCGATGATTGGTCGAGACGTGTCCGTCAAGGCACGCGCACGACAGGTGGTACGTGCGAGAGAGAGAGAAGAAGGTTGTCAAGCGTAACCAATCAATCCCAGTCCTCCTCGCATGTAGCGGCCTAATCTGGCACGTCGCTGCCCAATGAGAACGCGTCAAGATTCATGTTGTCTGGCTGTGTACCAGTAGAAATCTCGAATGGGTGTAGTCTTTCTGTCTGTGTTTTTATTATTCCTTAATTGTACCAGCAGCCTTCACGGATTCACCCACCCCCGAAAACCAGCTGGCGGTCTTTCTCCGATCTATCTATCTATGCATTGTATGGGTAGGGTTAGAGTTTAGGATTATACAAGTTGTTTCAGTATTGTGCTGTGAGCATAATTATCCATGTAGCTGCTGGTAGTGCTTTCGGCGCCGTGTGGCCAACAAACAACACACGGCACGTGCGTATCTCGAACAAATATTTAGTCAACCGTTTCTCACTGAGGTTCACAGTGTAGTTCCCATTCGGCTCGACCCCTGGTTCTCACGCAGTGATTTCCATCATCATTCCTGATTCCTGATTCCATGTCTCTATCCATCTAGTTTTCCCTCGTCTGCAGCACCTGCCTCCCTCCCACAGACAATCCTATTGCGTTGTAATTATTCACGGCGAAGACTCAGCGACCCCTCGAGGGGGATGGGCTTATCCCACTACTGCGGCGGCCTCTCTTTGACTTTCCCTCTGCTATACAGCTGCGACTCCAGCCTATACGAAGGTCCTCTGTGTGCCATGACTCTTTTTTTTATGATAGAGATGGATTCGTTGTGTCGCATTAAGAAAAAAAAATTCGTAATCTCGCCGCGTCTGCCTCGCCGTCAAAGCTTCAACGATCAACAATCAACCCGAGAACGAAACCACACCAGAACCAGAGCGCCCGTGATCCCGCGATCGGAAGAGAGAAGAGAACTGGATTGACCTTGTTCCCCGATGTTGAGACGCCCCCTCCTGGTCTAGCGCAGCATCAAACGCATGAAGCATCTCGCGGTACTGGTTCTGCTCCTGCTTCCGCTCGCGAGGCCTCGGCTCCAAAGCACCGTCAACAGAGAAGCAGAGGTGATGCATTTGCGTATGTATGCATCCGAGAATCTCGTAACGTACCACCAGCCAATTCTCCACAGCCCATGTCGTGGTAGAGCATTGGATACTGCAGCTATCTCCCTTGCCACTGTACAGCACACGTGTCGGTCGTGCAAACGAGCTGTTTGATCCACCACATCCCGTTCGACTACTGCTGTTGTGGGTATATCTCGAATGGGTAGTCTTTCTGTGTGTGTAGTATTCCTTATTTGATGCCAAGTTCGGGTTATTTCATCTACGAAGCTGCAACTTTGACACCCCACCCATCTTGGTAGCACCCACCGCCGTGACCAGCGCGTGCAGCGCGCGTTCTGCTTCTACTGCTGCAGCCTCCCTACGCTTCTAGTGTCTGATGTGGGAAATGCTGCCTGCTGGTGGGTAAAACACAGCCGGAGTTGTGTGGTGCACGCGCACGCGATTGTGTGTCGTGTGCGAAGGGGCAGACAAGAGCTGAGAAAATGAGATGCGTTACATGTACGAGAAAGACGAACGGAGGGCCTAAGAGCATGCCATACATAGATCAAGACGGGCGTTCAAGGCCTAATGACTAATGACCTTTGTTCAATGTGGCGTTGGTGTTTGCTGGAATGCATACATGCATACACCTGTGTCGGCATGCACTTTCACTTCACCGACCGGAGTAGAGTTATTTAAAACTCGATTCATGGACCGGCGGGACTTTTTTGGGCCTTTCGCTGCTTTGTACATTTTTGGTGAAAAACTCTCGTGATATTAAGGAATAATAAAAACACACACAGAAAGACTACCCATTCGAGATATACCCACAGTCGAACGGGATGTGATATAAACTAGTCTTTCTGTGTGTGTTTTTATTATTCCTTAAAACTCGAGAATAGATCTTCACAGGATAAAAACACAAGACTGTTAGCCTGCGCCAATACATGCTCGGACAGCTGGTGTTGGGCAGGTGGGCTGCCGTTGTGGTGCAGCCAAATTTGATCAACCGGAAACAAGCAGCAAGCGAAATTAGAGTGCCTTTTTTCAAGGTGATACGAATATGCACACCCTAACGTAATGAACGAACAGCGGACAAGGCGCGTTCATCTCTGCCAAGAGCGCCCCCAACCCACGCTAGGTGATACTCTGTATGTTGGCACTCGGGCACGTTGATGATAACAAACCGTTGGTCCTTCTTCTCTTTTTTTTGTGCCAAAGAGAAAACGAGAGAGGGGTTAGAAAAGACAGGCAGACAGGCATAGTCTATACGCACACACACCCTGTGCATCAACGGCAACAACCTCCAGCCTCCCCGCCATGCCGACTAGGAAGAGCCGCCCTCCCCCCCACAAAAATAACGGGGCAGCCTATAAGCTACGCGGCGAGCCTTGTGGAACTGTGTCTGTTCGTTAGCTCGTCTGTGCTTGCGTGCGATGGCGGCACCAGAGAAAGCGAGAAAGAAAAAGGAGCACGACGAGAGGGGAGGGCAGAGGGGAAAAGAGAGGGTGCAGCAGCATGCAGCAACCTCACGTACGCGTTGATACGCATGCAGCACAACAAAAAATCGTTCGGGCAGTGCCCGAAAGCTTGGTTGGGGGCTGGCGGTGGTGGCAACGTTGTTATGATTGTGTGCTGTTTCTTTGCTGTTGTGACGGCGGTGATGTTTGCTGCAAAAACGAGGAGAGAGGAGAGGGAGACAGGGAGATAGAGAGAGCAGTCTGTTCGTCTCAGAACACAAATATATACTTGGAGCTCTGGAGCCCCAAACATATTTTTGCTCACGATTCATGCATTTTTGCCCAAAAGTCCCCTCCGATATAAAACTGCCTTCCCAACATAACATATATGAGACACACAAGACAGCTACAAAACTGTCTTGTTGAGCCTGTTACCCGCAGGGGAGATGTCCCTATATGCTGTCTGGGAAATCGTAGACATACAGGTACTTTCTGACGCTATGAATTCATTGCTAATCTGTCTCAGACTTTTTTCTATGATAGAGATGGATTCGTTGTGTCATATTAAGAAAAATATAAAATAAAACTCGATTCACCCACTTTTCGGGCTCTTCCACTGGTTTCATGCATTTTTTCGAGTTTTAAATAACTCTAGTCCGGTGTGCTCTTTTTTCGGACCATTTTTCGGAGATTCCGGGTATTTCGTTGGGGTCTTTCCACGACCGGCAACCCCTATTTGCACGACGCGAGTGCAAATAATTATTCCTTAAATAAGACCGTGCACGACTCGACTTGTGATTGGTCAAAACAGCGCGCGCAGCGTGCGGACCACGTTCTGACGTGCGGACCACGAACGTGGCGCAGCCGCGTTCGTGGCCAGTCTCGCCACCACGGCCCCGGTTGGACGTCCGTGAGGGTTAGGGTTAGGATTAGGGTTGGGTTGGGTGGGTTGGGTTGGGTTGGGTTGGGTCGGTCACGTGTGTGTATAACCCAGTTTCAACCCATCCACGGAGGCGTTTCGAAGTGCACGTCTTATTTGCACGCGCGTCGTGCAAATAGGGGTAGCCGTCTTTCCACAACCATTTTCAACGAGCCGCGAGGCCCCCTCCCGCGCACTAGCCATTTGTTATCGAGCCCGGCCAACGACCGCAACATTTCCAACAATCTTGCTCTTTGCATCAACCGCCCTTTGATACACTAGATAAAAGAAAACAGAGCTGGGTTGTGCTTTTTTTTTCCGAGAATAATCTTCTTACAATTTAAGTTTCTCTGAGAACTCTTCATTTCGCTTCTTTCGGCTTCTGTGAGCGCTCTATTCCGGTCTTCTCGGGCTCTCACAGAGCAGCAGCATTTCCTCTGGAAATTTGGCACTTTGGTGGACTTTCCACCTTTTTTATCTTCCGCTTTTATCTCTCTCGCCTGCTGCTGTCACCCCGCTCTGTACCATCATACCACGCATTCCACTCGAAGTACGGCCCTCTCTGTGTGTGCCTCCTTCTCTTCCGTTCCTCCGTCTCTCTATGTCTCTGACGGTCTGTCTATCCACATTCTCTTCTCATTTTCGCCTTCTCTCTTGACCGCTCTCTCGCGTCGGAATGGTCTGTTGTTTGTTCCGATTCCGTGTGCTACTGCTGTACATTTTTTTTTTTTTCTAACACCTTCACACGGTATGCACTCACCTCCTTTCACCTAGGTACCGTATTCTCTCTCTCTCTCCTCTCAGTGTGTGTGTGTGTGTCTGTGTATCCACGTTGTCTTTAAATGTTTGCTTTTCTCTCTTCACCGCTCTCGCGTCGGAATGGTCTGTTGGTTGTTCCGATTCCGGCAACGGTGTTGTGTGCTCCGGTTCCGATAATCCCTTGTAAAGGTCCGGAAATACGAAAATACACTCCTTTCTACCTCCACTCTCGATGGCTACCCCGCCCACTCCTCCCACTCCCCTGTAGCTACTCTATTTCATTTGTTCAGAATTCAAGTAGTGCGTCCAATTCTTCGTGCTGTCTTTATTCTTTTTTTGCAGTTCAAGTAGTGCGTTAAATTGGTAGTGCTGACTTTCTTCATTCGCAGTTCAGTCGACAATTTTGTCTATTTTTTGCAGTTCTGAGTTCTGGATCTGTATCAGATAATGGAGGGGTACTGGGCACGGCGATGGGAAACAAATAATGGACCTTTACATCTCCGAACCTCCATCGTGGGAACTCCACCCTCTTCACGGAAACTTTAACTGCCATCGGTGCCTACCTTCATTTTGAACAACATCCTACACCCACTTTCAGAGAAAACGTTGCCTCGGAATCGCTTCAAATAAAGCGGGGGCGCGCAGCGCCCAAAACCTTGTATATATATGCGTAGAAGGTGTAGCCCCGTTGGGGGTAGTTGGCTTGTGACCACGCAAGCCGTCCGCGTCAGTTGGACCAGTCCGGACATTAGATGGTACTGAGCGGAGACCGGAACGGTTTTTAATGTGAAGACAACAACAACAACAACAACAACAATGGTCACGTGCAGAAAGAAAGGATGGGCCTTGTTCTCTGCACGCGATAAAGTTCGTCGCCAATTTCGGGGGTTTCCATGCACGTTTTCGTTCATTAGCGCAAACGATGTACAGTGGGGGGCCCTCTATAGTGCCGGTACGTGCGCAGGGCGTTCACCGGCACTATAGCGGGCACCGGCACAACTGGGAATAGTGCCTCAATAGTGCCAAACGGCACTATTTGGGTGATCGATATCCCTCAGTAGTGCCGGTCTGGCACTACTGAGGCACTGCTGTTTGAGTTCATGGTGTATCGCTTACCATTTGCGAGGCCAACAGAGTAGCATGTGGATCGAGTGTGGTGAATATACTTTGTGGGCGGCAGGGGCAGCCTTTTCTGAGACAAATGTGGGTTCCACTCTGATAGCTGAGTTTGCCGCGAAACCATTCCCGCATGCACGCGCAGAATTCACCTTCGGAGCCAAACCCCGTGTACAGCTCCCGTCCGTGCAACTTAGTATACTTGAAAAAATATCACGTTCCTCGCTGCCTCCCTACGATGTTGCGTGATGAGACACGCCAACAAAACCAATAAACGCGCCAGCAACGAAGCGGACAAAAATAAAACAAAACAAAAAGAAAAAAACTGCGGTATAGCTGTCCCCCCCTCACTCATCAACAAACTCTCTCATGTCTGTCTGGCGCACGCCCTTAGCGGCATGCGCCGCGATCATCGCCATCTTCGCTTTCGATAGGTGGAACGCAGCGTCCCCGTTTCCACTCTCCCGCGCGGCCACCTCCAGGACGCCGAAGTGAGAAGACAGTTCACCGTAAGCCGGTGGGGCGCGGCGGCCGCCCCCCGTGTCCTCATGATCACTGTCCGCCTCATCTTCGGATTCCTCCTCGCGGCAGGTAGATAGGCGCGTTCCCGCTAGCTGTGCCGTCATTTCGTCCGCTGCATCCTGTCGAAAAGCCTCCACCACGTCATCGTCATCCTCGATGGTAGCCCACGCCTGAACTAAGTCCACCGCCTCCTCCGGGGCAGGCTCTCCGGGTGAGATGTTGAGTTCTGCGAACATTTCACTCAGGTCCTCGTCTTCGATGCGAGACCCCTGCTGCTGCGCGTCGTGCACGCTCGTGCTCAACGAGTGGACACTCTTCGTGAGGGACCTCAACGCAGGCTCGTGGATGCGGGCCTGGGTTTTCCCGTGGAGGTTGGTGAGCTCAGCCGCCATCTCCTGCGGAAGCGTGTCGGCTTTGACAAAGCACCTGGTCGCGGGGTTGCCGAGAATACGAACCGCATCCGTTTTTGAGTGCAACGCAGATATTAGACGGACCCAGCGGCAGAAGTTGACTCATCCGCATGCAAAAAAAGAGGAAATTTTTATTGCAAACGAGGGATGCCCCTGCAGGAAACTTTCTCAAAAAAAATCCGTACCACCTCTGCCACGAAACGTGCCACCAAAGCTATTGTGCTAGCACCACCGCCCGAGTTGAAGCATCTACATAGCAACAGAACATGTTCAAACCTGACCTGGCGATGTCCTGGGGAGTGACGCTGCCCCATGCTTTCTGAAGAAGTTCAGCGGCGTCCCGTAGGTGAGGTTGGTGCCCCTGCGCCAGCCCCATCGTCCCGGCCTTCATCTTACTGGCTTTGGCCTGGGCGCGAAGGGTCTCAGCGACCAACATTGTGGATGCCTTCACGTCGAGCAGCTCCTTCCTGTAGAGGACCTTCGTCTTCGCGATGATCCCCATGTCCATGGGCTGGTGCAGGCTGGTGCAGTTCGGAGGATAGAACTTGATGGTAACTTGCCCACGATCATCAACGAGATCGCCGTGAGAGGAGCAGCCGTCCATCAGGAGCAGCACCTTTTCGTGAGTGAAGCGCCGAATGAACGGGAGGAAGACTTCAAGCCACCACTTGAGGAACGTCGCGGAGTCAGACCACGCGTTGGCCTGCGAGAAGTACTTCAGAGGTGAAGGCGCGTCCGTGAAGCAGCGAGGCACCTTCGACCTCCCGATGATGGCCATGTCCACCTTTGCAGTGCCGTCGGCGTTGCTGCACATGATGGCAGACATCCGATCCTTGAAGTACATGCTCTTGGAGCCCCGCGCCTTCTTGCGGTCCTCCGAGGAGGAAAGATACGTGCGCCTGGGCATAAGCTTCCACTGGATGCCTGTCTCGTCCACGTTGAAGATGAACCTAGCTGGGTACTTCGCGCAAAGGCTCCTGACTTCCTCCATGCCCTTCTCGATGGCCGCTGGGTCGACACTACCAGCCTCGCCATGAAGTCTCGCACTCAGCACCTTGTTGCGCTTCACGAAGTTCTTGGCCCACTTTTCACCGGCCTTGAAGTCCTCGACCCTCGCCCTCACTGCTGCAGAAGTAGCGGGCTCAGCGAGCAGGGTTGCCACGGTGGAACGGCCGAAGCTTCGAAGTACGTCCCGTGTGACGGGCATCTTGGCCTTCCGGGCTTTATCGAGCAGATCAATAACTATCTCATCCACCTGCCGGCGAAAAAGAGTATACAATGCAGAGGTTCAAGCGACCAACGATTAGTTTCAAACGTAAGCATCTACACTGCGCGGCGCAGATACGAGGGACGACGCCGCGGTACACCGTAAACAAAGCTGATGTTTTTTAAGTGCCACTACACCCGGAAAGAAAAAATTGCGGGAGGGGAAAGGGAAAGTTGCGAGGAGACGCTCGTACAGGCTACATCTGCTTACATCTGCTTGTTTGTTTTGAAAAAAAAGCGGGTGCGAATATGTACACAACAGTGCTCTTTCAATTTCAAGGACAAATAATCGGAAGGTCTATGAGTGTGGACATCGAGGACCTCAAAGGCCAAAGACATAACAAAAAAAGGCAAAGAGAAAGAAAAAAAGGAGGTGACATGAAAAAAAAAAACACCATATGATACATACGAAAAGACGAAAAGGGAAAGGCAAAGAAACAAGGAAGAGCAAAAAAAAAAAAGGTACAGCAGTAGAAATCGGCGACATGAGGGCATTTTTGAAAAATGGCGGGGAAAAACAACGTTCGAGAGGAAATTGCCAGGCATGTCGTGTACTCTACCTACCTCCGGAAAGTCTCCTCTGCGTGCGGTTTTCTGGCTTCCGTCGCCTGCAGCTGCCTTAGCCTCCACTTCCTTCCGTTCAGCTTTCACCTTGCGGACCAGCCGTTCCGAGCACTTAAAGCGATCTGCTATCTGCTCATGAGAAATCTTGGCATCCAGCAGCTTGAGGACCTCAACCTTGTCAGCGTTGCTCAGCCGCGCGCGAGAAGCCTTCTTCCCCCCCCCTTTCTCTGTCGGACGTTTAGATGGTCCTGCCCCAGCATCAACCCCAGCTGCGGTCGCTTTGCGCTTGCCAGTCTTAGCAGCGACGCAAGAACTGCAGATGCGGGATGTTTCGAAGTCACCCTCCACGCTGCCGCAAGTGCTATGGAGCCGCCCGCCACATCCTCCCTTGCAGACGTGGCCATGAGGGGCCTTCGGCGTTCTGTTCTGTTGAAGGCACAGTTCACCTTCCGCACACGGCATGGTGCGCCTCTGCGTAGAGCTGTGTTGGACTGCAGCAGCACGGTGTCTGTATTTTGGGAGTGTGGTGGTGTGTGTGCGTGCGTGTGTGAACCGGCACTATTGCGGGCTGACGTGGTGCCCAACCGGCACTATACCAGGCCCGCCCTCAATAGTGCCGTTTGGCACTATTGAGGGCGCTTTCTGTGTGGAGAGATTTTACCGGCACTATACCGGCAGTTGGCACTATTCAACCGGCACTATAGAGGGCCCCCCACTGTACCAATAAATTGCACGTATGGCCTTTTTCTGTTATTGTGTGGTTTGCAAGATGTTACAGCTAGTGCTCGCTTGCGTTTTCTTCCTTTCGCATCTATCCTCATGGCTTGCCTGTCGTGCCCTCAAAACCTCGCGTGCACCTGCGAACTACAGTAGTAGGGGGTCCCTCCCCGCTTCCGTTGTCATACCACATCGCAAAATGTAAAAGCTAAAGCTTGGCAATGTCAACACCAACAGACTCGTCGGCTTGCATTTAAAACAGTACTGTGCCATACTTCAATACGATGTGATAGATAAATGCCGGTCGCCCCGGTGTTCTGGTGGGTACCCTCGTCAATGCCGGAAGCCTACAGACTTTTTCGGTAGCAACAATTCGCAGTTCCGCTGCGTAATTCGATGAAGTTCGTGAGTGGTATACGCGAAAAGAGGAGATTGCTGAACCCTACGATCGGAGGCAAGCACCGCTGGGGAAGGTTGGACGAAAGGAAGATTGCGTTCCTCCTGTGTGATGACCCAGGCTAATCTGTAAATACTACAACATCGCGTTTCTTTGCAACCTGCCCACCACGATTTCGTATCGATCTATCGTTTCCTTCAAACAGCAATCTGCCGTGGCGGCACGACGGACAACAGCAGCCCTCAACACGTACAACCCGGATGAAGGTGCGAAGATCGTGTCACGGGTATCAGCGTGGGCCCGACCCATGCACGTCCAACCGGCATTGTTTACATGCCCTCCTTCTCTGTCCCACTGCCTGTCATTGAACCTGCCTCGATGCCATGAGGTAGGTGTACGACGGGAGAGGGTGTCGCAGGAAAGAAGGCGTGTGTGGAAGATGAATATAGTTTTGCCTGGTGAGAGTCTACAGGGCGCAATGTACAGCACTAAGTGTCCCGCCTCTGTTTTGCAGGCGTCTTAGCATCCTGCAACCATTTCGATATCATTACAGCAGTATCACTTCGCCATTGACAGACGGTGTGTATGAGCTCGAGAGGAATACTCCATTATCTAAACAATAATATTCATGTTCTCGAAAGAAGTACCTACTATAGAGAATGCCCACTTAACTGACCATTGATCAAGCTAGATTCGGCGATTTGGTTCGGTCCGCGCCACAGCGTCGTAGACCCGATCGACAAGCGGAAGAGACGCGGTTTTAGCTATTATGGTGCCGCTATTGGATTCCTCAGATGGTATTAGGCATCTTTCAGGAAGGGAAAGACTGCGGCCGATAGAAGGTTTCCCTCATTGTTGCAAGCTCGAAGTAAAGAGTGCGCCCCAGGGTGTAGGGTGTCACCCCTGTCAGCGGCCTAACTTGGTCAATTATACAACAGCGCATAGAGTGTGGTACCATTCTGATGATGCCAGGGTGTTGTCGTCTCGAAGCCCTTCATTGAACTTTTGTCAGCTGTCCCCGGCCTGTGTGAACGGAACCATTTTAATGACCTTCGTCTACGCACGGTTGTGCTGTTGGCAAGTTGGGTTGTCAGTTCTCGCGATGCAGACAGCAGCACTCTCGCCGTTTCCGTGGTACCACACGCTTGTCTTGTCTTCCCTTTTGGAGGCTTCAGCAAGGATCCAGCTCTATGCTTTGGAAATGCGACTGCGATGGTGGCGAAACATGAATTACTTTCCTCTACAACTTCGTCCCGCTGAGGAGTGTACCGCTCTGCCCCTCCCACCCCCTCTGATCTACCCCAATTGTCGCAGATGAGCTATTCCATATGCGAAAGTTGCCAGAGCTTACTGTATACGTGAAGGGGCATCGAGGTGGGCCAGAGAGAAGACAGAGAAGGGGAAAATAAACAATAAATAGAGATCCCAAAGCACTGCTGCTGCTATATGTATGCCGTATGCTGCTGTGAATGATGTCATACATCGTCTTACCTTCGCTTCGGGGAACTCTTTCGCTTGGTGCACATACCTTGTCAACAACGCAACCGTGGGATTTGCCATGTACAATGAACTTGCGACTGCGGCCTTGTATCGCCTCACCGGTACCAGGGTAGAGACAAATCGGAGACGGGCCATGAAGGCCACTGAACACCCTTGGATGCTTCAAGTTGGCAGGGTTAGATTATTTCAAGTTGTGCCGGCAGGCAGGTGTCATGATACCCTCACGTCAACCAAAACCAACAAACGCTCCCAGTTGATGACGTCGTGTTTTCGCCCCTCCTCTTGTTCCTTCTGGGCTGTGTCCTCTCTTCCCCTGCTCAACCTGGGCCCAAAGGAGAAGGAAAGACGGTGGGCGGCGAGCCCACCAATAGAAGCTACTTGAACAACCTAGTGGCGAATTCAGCAGCGCAAACAGAGGGCCAAGTGAGAACAATGCTGTACTGTATTATCATGGGAGCACTGCGAGCATTGCCCATCCATCCATGCATCCATCCATCCAGGGGAAGGTAGTTCCTATCTGTGTGACGAACGGAAAAGGGTGGTGACCACCATTTGTCGACAGATGAAGTAGCGTTGGAAGGCTGGAAACGGAGGGAAGGGGCTGGAGGGGGCGGGGGAGGCACGGGAAGCGGGGGGGGGGGAAGGGGGAGGGCAGTCAAGCTGACCCCCCCCGTTACACCATACCAAGCGGAGAATCTCGGGGGAGCGTTTCAATCTCGTCTTTCTTAGGCAATCACAATCAACCAGTCGTGACGTGTGACCGTGTACGGTGTTGGACGACTGCTGTACCTTTGGCATTGGGACGGGTTGGCAGCAACCAAATCCGAACACAGATGAAAACGGTGAGAAATCGGAAAGTCCGTCATGCCGATGGTGTTCCTTGTGTTCGCCAACGTTCACCAGATGCGTAGCCATGCAAACAGCCGACTGCCACACAGCAGTGGTGGTTTGCTCAGCTCTGTCTTCAATCGATGCATCCGCTGATCCTACGCCGCCTTGAGAGTTTGGCCATCTTACACGTCCCGCATCCGCCCTTGCTTTTTGCTCGTGGTGCCCGTTGGCGCTGTTTATTCGTGGGCGACATCACGGTGGCATTTAAGCTGAGTAATATTGCCTTCATCAAGACACACAAGACTGCTTCAACGACATTTGCCTTCTTGCTCTACCGGTACGCGCGAAGGCACAACGTGAAGGTGAGCGCGAGACTGCTGCTCGAGTCCTGTCGGTGGTGTACACCTCTGGTGTTAGCTATCTTATTTCTGGGCGTAGATGCGTCGCAGCATCTTTTGTCAGCAATACCGTGGTATGTCACCCCCCGCCCTCCCCCCAAGCGGAGAGTCCACGAACACCATCCCATGACATGTGGCTGTGATCACCGTTTGTGTGCAATGTTTGGTGTGATACTGATGGAGCTTGGAGATGTCCGCAGCATGGGGATGGCGAGTCGAGTCCGCGAAATTTGATTACCACCCCGCAGTCCCTCTTCCCGGAGTATACTCCTCTGTGGGAAACGGTCTACGGAAGGTTGAAGGTTGATATAGGGTACTTCGGGTGCGAGGAGCGAGCTGACTCGCCGGCCGGCCAGCTGTGTCTTACGGCATCCAATACACTACATTTGATTGGTGAAGGACTTCCGAGACAAAACGTGGTCAAGCAAATCATTTCGTTCCTGTCTCTGGTCGTGTTGTTTGTGGCGCATAAAACGTGTGAGGTGCATGATTTTTGTCCCGTGAGTTTTTTGCGGATGGTGGTCACCTTACTTGGTTGGCTGTGCAAAAGCGTCCGCCCAGTGTGAGCTGATTGGCTTATTTTCCCTTGTCCCACGTTTCTTTGTGTGATTGGGATCCTCCGACGCGTTAATGTGCGGCGGGATGGTTTGATTGGCGGATGATGGCTAACGACGACGCCACCCAGCTGGCCCACTTTGACGACCACAATTCCGCCATTCCCTTAAGAGAGGCTGTTCAACAGGTGGGTCAGTTGCTGAAAAGGCCAGGGTGAGCTGCGGCATTCGTGTGGACAAACTGGTCTCCTCGTGCATTTGCATATGGTGGGGGGTAAATCCAATGTTTCGAGTCCTACTGCTGTGGCAGGGCACCACGGCGAATAGACCGACGCTCGTCTCCTTTCCTCTCATCATGCAGTGGGAGCGGTCGCTTGAATCTACCCGATCGCGTGTGCCAAAACACAGAGGATCCGTCACAGCCCCACACGCAAAGCGTGCGAGCGCCGACAACCGTGTCCCCGTTCGTTTGACTCAATACACGCACGATATGGAACTGGGTTTGAACACCGGACAGACGGAAGGCAGACAAGGGAAGGGAAGGTGCGACATCATGCACTACCACGTGTCCGCGTTCGGGCAGTTCGAGGGCTCCTGGAGACAAGCCGAGCAGGCGTACCGAAGAATACTCCGGAATACCAAGGCGGTGAACTTCGTCACCGTTGTCCGAGAGCCGCGGAGCCACCTCCTGAGGTGTGACAACTACCGTACCGTAGGCTTGATCGCGTTGTAGACCCGTAGCGCAGAAACGGTGTGCTACGTAGGAGCCATGGCCAAGCCTTGGCTCGGAGACGGGTTTGATTCATTAGGGCATGAGCCACGGATGATCCGAGGTGACAGCGTTGTTGATAGCAGAGCATTGGGGTCGCCTCTACCGTTTACTGTTTCGTGCCGTAAGTTCGGAATCGAGATCGATTCCTTCGGGTTTGTCGTCGGATACACCGGGACAACCGCGCAGTCACCCAATGGTGGACCGGCGGTGAACATGCATGTTTTTTTTGTTTGAAGACTCGTGGTCAATACGCTTGCTGACCACCGCTCCAGAAATGGTAGGCTAACTATCCTGCGCTGTGCGTTGTCTGTTGGTTGTGCTTTTGTTCTCCTCCCCCGTGTTTGTTTGTCCTTCCGCCTGACGTTGCTGCGTTCGTTGGCCACTTATGCTGTACACGTGTAACCTGTTTGCTGGGAATGGAACAAACGGACCGAAGCTATTACTACTACTTCCTCCAGCCACAGACGCAGGTGCGTGCGTTTTGTTTGTCCTGGACCAGGACCAAGAGCAGTCATCCTCGTCGACGCACTTCGCCATCCACGACTTATTTCGTCCATCTTCATGCACGCAAGATATTTTGTAGATTCTCTCCTTGTTTCCTGCTAGAAACGCACAGTTGGCTATTGGCTATACATTTTTGTGATGGAGGCTTCACCACACTTGCGCGGGTTCTGAATGAAGGCGGCCTGACAGCAACAGCCCTGTTGAGCTGCGTGGTTGTGTGATTGCACAGAGTCAAGGATACACACAGTAGCTGAGGAGCCAGGAGAGACCTCGCCCAGCGGCATCGTTCCTCGTTGTGGTGAACGCTAAGGCCTTAAGGTTTTTTCACTAAATAGACGTGAAAAAAAGTGTATCTACCGGGCATTTCGGCATTTCCTTACCCTACCAGTGGCAAGAACACAAGATCGGCTTTGTCCAACACATGTGGTTCACTTCACCGGTCGGCCACTATGATCGTCTCCTTGCAGGGGCACGATTAAACAGCTTTCGGCAGCACGTGTAGGCAAGGAAACGCGATGGAATCGTCTTGGTCCGTCCGAGGACTTGGTTGGATTTCAAGTACTCCCCTCCGTTTCACCACTCCCTCTCTCTTCCCTTCTGTTCTGTCTGCCTGCCCCCTTTCTGACAGAAAACCATCGGGGAGTTCTTGACGCAAGCGAAACACCCCCGGGATCCCATCCACAGGCGCCTCTTCAACCCACTCTCGGCGGAATTTGGGGTGAAGAAGCGACAGGACCTGCGATATGTGCTTGAGAAGGCGCTCCCGAACGCGAAGATGGTGAGATTACGCTTGTCTTTCTTTTGGCCCTGCGAGTCTCGGTGCCCCCTCCGACCACTTTCGAGTTTCTGCTTCTGCATGTGGAGAGTACCGTAGGTCGCACAACATGCCACACCCCGCGGACCGATTTTCGTGGCTCGATTAAGCTTCCCAGAAACAGTGACGGACCCGTTTCGTCGAGGGCTTTCCGAAACATATGCATCCTCTTCGTCGTGGAGTAGTTGAGATTTGAAATTCGGTCCAGGGGGTGTGGTACCTTGTACGACCTACGGTAAAGGAAGAAATCGTACCATAGCACTACAACGAGTTTCTCTCTCAGCGATAGTGACGTGGAGCCATCTGTCATGTGGCTGTCGGCGTGCGCGAAACGCCCCTCCTTTGTGTCGGGGACGACGCCCCGCGCCCTCATCATGTTTACATTCACATTTTGAGAATGCTCTCGACCATCGATGCCGTTTCAACAACAGCAGTATTGAGTCGCGCTAGCTGAAAGCTTTGGGTATCACACGCGTTGCTAGTTTTTGTTTACTAAAATGATTCAATTTCAGTGATCTGGACGGAATGGTTGGACGGGTGCGGGAATTGTGTTGTTTCGGCCGAGGCGCGTTTCCGTAGAAAAAACCATGCTCGCGCAACGAGCCAACAGTCGTGTTATACCGACCGAAATGGTGTGGAATATCGCTATCGGGGAAAACACCGACCGAAATCGTGTTGAACACTGCTATCGGAGAAAGGTCAACATTTGAAGTCGACGGTCGAAAGCTGAAAACTGCAACTCCCTTCGTAACCGGCGTCCCAATAAACTTGGCAAAGGTTTTGCTGACAGAGGAGTTCGACGAGGGGTTGATGGTGCTGCGGCGACTTTTGAGGTGGGAGATGGTGGACATGACGTACGTGAGTGTCTACAAAACGACGGCTGGGGCGAGACGGTATGACGGGAAGCCGCTCGTCAACGCACCCCGTTTCGAGGATCTTCCCGTGCAGGTGGGTGGGAGAGTGCGCATGGCACGCGCGCTCCGACGTGTTTGAATTGATCGATCCCTCAGAGAACATGGATCACATCGACATGTGGTTCTAGTCTCATCGGGCGTGAGATAGAGTTTTTGTGAGTAGTCGTGACACCGTCGCTAGTGCCTAGGTCGCAATGCGTATCCGGGTCAGTTGCAAAGGTAGACTTCGAACGATAGCCTTCTAACTATGCGCGCCAGATCCTCGCCGCGGTTGTTGCCCAAACGAGTTAATGTATTTTTTTGTTTTCAATTTTTTTTACATCGGCTTATTTACATCGTCGACAACCTTACTTGTCTCGATACATGCAGGCACGGCGTCCGCCGTCGATCCGAAGGTCTCCCGCTATCACGTCGCTACATGTACCTCAACTCCTGTGCTTGTGAAGTATCGGTCCATGTGCATGAACGCGTCTGTAACCCAGCAGCGATTTGTTCGATCAAAACGGATCAAGTACCAACCTTGGAGCCTCGTCGATCCATACCAACCGCAGGTGCAGCAGATCATCGACCAACACACGGAACTTGACCGGGTCCTGTACAATGCTGCGAAGTTGGAGTATGAAAAGGTACGCCAGCCGCAACGACACTGGTGCCCGTAGTGCCCATGCATTGTGTACGAAAAAGGACCATCTATCTCCCGAAGTGGGTGCAACAGTTTTTACCATTCTACACGGCTGGTGAGCTACACGGCTGGTGAGCAAGTGATTATGTATATATAATTCATCCTTGCCATGTTGCCAGCAACACTCAATCAAGCCCGACGAAGCAGCCATACAATGCAGGCAGTACATACTTAGTCGAGCAGCAATCAGCGACACAACCGCCGTCCCTACCCTATCCCCGCATAACCTCTCAACCCTGCTTAGCTCAGTGCCCACAAAAGGTGATGTCGATGTGCGTTGCAGCGGGTGCATGTCTGATGTAACGATAACGGTCTCATGACCTCGGCAGTCCTCCTACAGCAGGATTTTGAACCGTTCGTCCCGGCGGTATAGTTGGTAACCTCGTAGCCTAGCCTTCTGACGGCGAGATCGGGCGCTCGAACCTAAGCCGAGGGTGATTCTTTGCCGCATCTGGTACGAAAACATGCGCGTTGCCGTAGGTTGGGTTAGGGTTAGTGTGCTTGGCGGGAGGAAGTGTTCCTGCTGCTGTAGAGAAACCGATATCGCGTTGAAATTGAAGTGAAGTGAAGGGAAGGGAAAGCACTGACGGCAGAGGAAGGAACGAGTCTCACTCTTGTGTGACCCCGGTGTGACCCCGGATTGTAAGCCTTTGAGTCGAGAATGGGAAAGATCGTTTATGGGCAGGTAGAACCGGCAAGCGACGGTAAAACCGTACCATACTTGGTCACGAGGAAAACAATTGCCATGACACCCAGTGGTATGTCCGTGGGCGAGCCAGGCGAGAGACCCCCGGGTAACAGCAGTCACCTGTCACTATTGTAATGATGAAGTATCTCGTTCTCCTTTCTCTCCCTCTTCCTCTGGACTTCCGCTGCCCCCAAATTTAGCGGAGAGACTTGATACCGCCACCCCTGTTGGAGGAGGACTTAGTGGAGTTCCACGAGCTGCAGCGAACAGTCGGCGCATACCTGGTGGATAACCCTACCAGCAAGGCCAACGCGATGTGAGTTGGGCATGCGCTGTAGAAATTGCTACCGAAAATGCAGAACTGTGTCCGGAGTACATCACAGTTCCTGTTTCATACTGTGGTTTGGGTCCATTCGTAGGAGGAGACGTCCAAGGGCGTGTGTATGGACCCTCGACTGTGGGAAAGGAGTGTTGTGACTATAGATGAAACCCGCTACCAGAGGTTGGCTGTTTCCTTTGGTGTTTCGAGGAATGCTAAGCTGGACCGAGCGAACCAACTGAGTCAAGCTTATGTATAAGGGTGGTGCGGAGTGTGGGCGAGCCTTCGTGGACTCATTTTCCCAACCTCCTGAAGATTCACCGACCATTCGCAGCCGTTGAGAATCAGAAAATCCTCACGAAAACGGTGATATGTCACACAGATGTCACAGATATATTTCGTGTATGTGTGTCTGGACTGCATGATTGTACCACATCCTGGCCTCCATGTGTGATCATTGTGCTATTATGGTTCGATTTTCAGATGTTGTTGCGACCACGAGATGCTAGATTGGTTTCGGGGGAAAACTGGGCCGTACGAGAAAATCTGCGTCCGTATCCTTCGGCCACATTAGTACAAAGTACAAAGTATCGAGATAGATCTAGATGCCTCCAAGCTGCCTTTTCTGCGCACGCAGGCAATGCCTGCTTTTTAAAATGTAGTACTCACGAACGTTCTTTTTCCTGGAAGACGATAACAGGCACCCAGGGATACAATAGTGCATAGGAAGCTCTTGCCGACTCAAGCTTAGAATTGCGCGGGTCTCTCTCTGCATCTAAATAGCTGGCTATGTGCCCGCATCTACATCGTTTTTTTTCGAATCGGGGGCAAAACCGGCTTGGCATGTTCCGGAGCGAGGCGAAACCTTTTGAGGTAGATTTCTTCATCAAGAGAGTAATCCCCCACGACACCAACACACGTGACAAGCTGTTTACGTCTACCGGAAATGGAGTGGCGAAGAAAAAAAAGAATGAAAAAGCGTGTACAGCCAGTAGCCACGTAGCAGTGATTTTTTTACAACCCCCCTCCCCCCACCCCCCCGGTGTTTGCCAACGGGGTTTGGGTTTTCGTCGCTTGGCAACGACGTTGTAAAACAAGCCCCCCACTCGGTGTTTGCCATCGGATTGGGTTTTCGTCGCTTGGCAACGACGTTGTAAAACAAGCCAATTCACTTCGTGAACTCGGCAACCAGGTTACCGTTTTTTTTTTTTTTCCTCGGTTTTTTTTTTTGGCGGTAACCATAATGGTGGTCGAGTAGATCATGTTGTGCGGGGTCGAGAAACCTCACTCCGCGCAACGGGGATGATCGCACCACGTTGTGTTAAAATGGTCAAGCTTCCTCGAGGCAGTTACACAGTGCTTACAACTGTCTCTGGAAGTGAAAGCACCAGAAAATAAATTAAGTCATACGCAGCTGTCATCCGTACGCAAGGAAGTAAGCACAAGATGCCGAACACCCTTAGGAGGATGGCAGCTCACCCTTCATGCGACTCGCCAAATACCTCACGGCGCTTCGCGCTTGG